AGACAGGAAACATAAAAATGAAGGTAGAAAACATAAAGAACCAGTCAAAAATGAATAGTATAATTGAAATGAATACATTAGAGGGAAGCAACAGATTAGATGAAGCATTGGATCAAATTAGCAAATTAGAAGACAAGGTAGCAGAAAATACCCAATCAGAAGAGCATAAAGAAAAGGTTTTTAAAATTTACAATAGTTCCAAGGGGCCTCTGGGACACCATCAAATGTACTAACCTTCACATCACAGGGGAACCAGGAGAAGAGAGAGAGCAAGGAATTGAAAACCCATTTGAAAAAAATAATGAAAGAAAACTTCCCTAACATGGTGAAGGAAATAGACACACAAGCCCAGGAAGTACAGAGAGTCCTATCCTAAACAAGATGAATCCACAGAGGCCCACACCAAGACACAGCATAATTAAAATGGCAAAGGTCAAAGACAGAATCTTAAAAGCAGCAAGAGAAAGTTACCTACAAGGGAGCTCCCATCAAACTGTATACAGGCTGGTTTCTCAGCAGAAACTTGCAGGCCATAAAATATTCAAAGTGGTAAAAAAACAGGGACCTACAACCAAGATTTACTTTACCTAATAAGGCTATCATTTAGAATCAAAGGACAGATAAAGAGTTTCCCAGACAAAAAATAGCTAGAGTTTATCACCACCAAACTAGTATGAGACATGTCAAAGGGTCTTCCTTGAGAAGAAGAAAAGTAAAATAAAAAATATGAGTAGCCCTGGCTAGTGTGGCTTAGTTGATTGGAGCATCATCCTTGAACCAAAGGGTTCTGGGTTCAATTCCCAGACGGGGTACATGCCTAGGTTGCATACTCGGTCCCTAGTCGAGGTGCAAACAAGAGGCAATCAGTTAATGTTTCTCTCTTGCATGGATGTTTCTCTCCTTCCCACTCCCTTCCACTTTCTCTAAAATCAGTAAGTATGTCATCCGGTGAGGATTAAAAAAAGCACGAATAATAAAATGGCAATAACTATGTACCTAGTGGTAGTTAAATTTAAATGTAAATGAAGTAAACATTTTAATTAAAAGACAGGGTATCTGAATGGGTAAGTAAATAAGGCCCATACACATGGGTCTTACTTCTACAAGAGACCCACTTCAGAATGAAAGACACAAAGAGACTGAAAGTAAAGGGTGGAAGAAGATATTTAATGCAAATAGAAACAAAAAAAAAGTTTGGTTAGCAGTATGTACATCAGACAAAATAGACTTTAAAACAAAGGCTATATAACAAGGGATAAAGGACCCAGCAATTCCACTTCTGAGTATTTATCTGAAGAAACCCAAAACACTAATTCAAAAAGACATATTTGTTTGTATGTTCACTGCAGCATTATTTATAGTAGCCAAGACAGGGAAGTAACCTAAGTGTTCATTGATAGACGAATGGATAAAGTGGTACATATATGTAATGGAATATTACTTGGCCATAAAGAAGAAGGAAAACTTGCCATTTGTGACAACATGGAGGGACCCTGAGCGCATTATGCTAAGTGAAATAAGTCATACAGGAAAGATAAATACCATATAATTTTACTTGTATGTGGAATCTAAAAAAATGAATGAACAAAACAAACTCATGGGTACAGAGGACATTTTGATGGTTGCCAGATGGAAGGGGAGCTTGGGGAGATGGGTGAAAAATGGGAGGTGATTAAGATGTGCAAATTGCCCTGGGTGGATAGCTCAGTTGGTGAGAGTGTTGTCCCGATATGCCAAGGTCATGACTTACATTTCTGGTCAGGGCACATATAATAATCAACCAATGAATGCATCAACAAGTAGAACAACAAATCTCAATCTCTCTCTCTCTCTCTCTCTCTCTCTCTCTCTCTCTCTCTCTCTCTCTCTTTCAAATTAGTAAGTAAAAAAAAAAGATACTCAAATTGCTAGTTGCAAAAATTGGGGAACGTATAGTATAATATAGGGAATAAAGTTAGTAATATTATAGTGACTACATATGGTGTCAAATGTGCACTAGATTTATTTGGGTGATCATTTTGAAAGTTATGAATGTCAAATCGCTGTGTTGTACACCTGAAACTAATATAATACTGTATGCCAACTATAACTGAAAATAAGAAATATTATTTAAAAAAATAATCATAAAAAGTGACACATACCTGAAATATTTACCTTAAAAAAGAGTTGTACACATGAAGTATTAAAACCAAATAGCTCTACAGGGTTTATTAGCAATCACCACCATAACCAAGAAGGTGGCTACTTTACTTTGTTTCTTCCTACCCTTTGGTATCTTTTTGGTAATCTGGTAAGGCTTATGGACCCCTTCTTAGAGCGACTTTAAATCCATAAAATAAAATTCATGGTATTACAAATAATACTCATTAGTTTTGATTATAGTAGTTATGAAAATATTTAAAAGCCAATTCTCTGATATAATGATGTAATTATTAATGGACTAAGCAATTCCACTGCTGGGATTATACCCTAAGAGTCCTGAAACACCAATTCAAAAGAATTTATGCACCCTTATGTTCATAGCAGTGTTATTTACAATGGCCAAGTTCAGGAAACAGCTTAAGTGCCTGTCAGTAAATGAGTAGATCAAAAATTGTGGTACGTTTACACAATGGAACATTATTACACAGTAGAAAGAAGGAGTTCCTACCTTTTGCTACAGCATGGATGGGACTGGAGAATATTACAGTAAGTGAAATAAGACAGGTGGTGAAAGACAAACACCATATGATTACACCTATAAGAGGAACCTAATGAACAAAACAAACGAGCAAAATAGAAACAGTGACTGACAGGAATAGATTGACAGTGACCAGAGAGGAGGTGAGAGGGAGATAAGGGTGGAAAGAAGGGAAAGGGTCTATTTAAGGAACATGTATGAATGACCCATGGACATGGACAACAGGGTAGGGATTGACTTTGGGGGCAGGGCTGGGTAGAGGAGAGCAAAGGGGGAAAAATTGGGACATCTATATTAGAACAACAATAAAATATTAAAAAATACTGGCATGTCTAGTGACTTAATTTTGAATTGTTGATTGTAAATATTTTGATATCTGCAACAACTAGTATGACATGAAAAATATTTTAATTCCTGACAAAGTTAAAAGTACTGCTTTTATTACTGCTGTAGCATAATTGTTCACATCCAAGTTTATGGTCGCTTTTTTCCCCCTACAACAACAATACATATTTTCAGACTTTCTCTCCATTCTCCTTCTTTCTAATAGTTATATTGTAATTCTTTTGTTATATCAGTTTTGTTTTTTTTAATGTGAATATGACTAAATACCAGCCACGGTAAATGATATAGTATATTATGACCATTTTTTCCTGCATATTTTGTTTTCCCTGGAATTAAAATTAATTTTCCTCCTTCCCTCTCTTTTTAATTTCTGTGTTCTTAACTTTAATTCACTCTAAATTTGCAACCCCTGCCAGTTGTATAAATCTCATAGCGTGTTTGAGCACATTTGATATTATATGGCTTTTATTTTTTCTAAAAGTCTTCTGGTCTGTCCTACCTAATCCAAATTAGTTGTTCTTGAGGCTTGTTGTAATGCTGTGTGCTTGGGATATTCCTTCACTGTCATTCTTTTTTCTTCTCATGAGTTTGACTCTTCAGGTCCTGGAACATCATCTTTTATGGTTTCCTACCCATTTTGGTGGAATGCATCCTCTAGTTACTCCCTGAGATAGAATATATGGAAAGCAGAATTATTTGAGACTTTGCTTATTTAAAAATGCCTTTTTAATATATTCACATTTGATTTATAGTTTCTCTTGGTATGGAGTAATTTTCCCTCAGAGTCTGAAAGTTTTACCTTATTTTTTCCTAGCTGCTAGTGTTGACATTAAAAAGGGTGATGTCATTATGATTCCAGATTCTTTTTATGAAATCTGTTTCCTCTCAGGCAGCTTCTAGGGTCCGTTTATCTCGTCAATATTCAGAAATTTCACTGAGATATGCATGCCTTTATTTGGGTATATTTTCATCATTTTTTGCTGGGTACTCTTTGTGTCTTTCAGTAGGAAATTCGTGTCTTTAAGCTTTGTCTATTTTTCTTGAATTTTCTTCTGTGTTTTCTATTCTTTTCTCTGGAACTCTTACTCCTGTGTTGAACCTCTTGCACTTTAAATCTTACCTTCTGTTTTCTATTTGTTTTTTTTTTTTTATTATTCCGTTTATTTTGATAGTTCCCTAGCCTTATACTTTTCTAATTCCTTATAGGGTTAAACAAATTTATATACATAAAGTACTTAATTTACTTAGTGCCTGGCATATAGTAAGTTCTTGTGTTGGGTGTAATTGTTGTTAGTTTCTTAAGTAATTGTTTAGAGGGAGGGGGATCTTTGGTCTCGATTTTTTTGACTTATTAGCTGTATGACCTTGCGTGAGTCCTACAGTTTCTTTGATACCTACTTTCCTCATCTGTAAAATGTGAATAAGCTCTGTTTTGCCTGTGAACATGAAATGAGAATATATATGTGAAAATTCTTAATAAACTTTGTACAGAGTTAATAGTTACTACTTACATCTTTCAGATATCAAAAGTTCTTAGTTAGAAAGAAAATGATGGCTTTTAGGGTTATTTTTAAGATTATTTGATTGCATGTGACTATTTCTCCCAAATCTATATGAACTAGGTAACGTAAGTTAAATGTTAGTGCTACCATTTAAAGAAATTATTTCTTAATACTCAACCTATGTTAGGTTGAAGAGAGAAGATTATGAAAATATTCATCCTATGAAAAGCTCTAACTTTACTTCAGATTGTATAGATCTGTGTAATGTAATAATTATTTAAGAATGACCTGGTTACTAATTTTAACCCATGGGAGGAATATTTATTGGAGTTTGTTTATTTATTTTTTATAATGGTATTTGAGACTAGGAAAATAGAAAAAATAGAGTCTGTCTTGGTTTTTCTAATAGTAATGTAAGTTCAAATGTTAACTCATTTTTGTTAATGGTGGCATTTTGTTTGTTTTGTTTTAAGGTTTTTGGATTCAAAGCATAAAAACCATTACAAGATATACAATCTGTAAGTATATTTTCTTATTTGTATGCTTCCAAATACTTCTAAAATAACTGTTAAGTAAAAGTTATTTCCTTGTTAGAATAAGGTCAAGTTAAAGATGTATTTGAATAGAACTGTATTCCTAAAACACTTAGTTCAAGAAGTCTGTTTGAGAGCATTGTTAGGTCATTTAGAAAGTGTAGTGATGAGGTAAAACAATGTTGGCACAGATTTATGTTACTTGATCTGCTTTAAATGACTGGGCATCTAGCCCATCTTTGAGTGCATAACCATGTGGTAACTTGAAGTGTAAAATATAGCGGAGCTTCTGTTAAAGCATTAGTGACATCTTCCATGGAGGTATGCTCCACAGTGAATATAATTTTGCTTATTCTGTGTCTCTAGGTCACTTGGTTGATGCAGCTCTTGGGGTATTCTCTAACTGCATATAACATTTAAGTTAACTAAAATTGTTGTTTTCTTGGGGCAGAGTTGGAAGGATTGCCCAATTGGTATGGCTAGCTGACCTTATCTTTAACCTTTTTTTTCCCTCTTGATTTTGTAACTGAGATGTGAAAAAGAAGAAACAAAAGTGGGCATGGAGTAAAAGGGGGACTAAATGGTAATGGAAAAAAACATAATAAAAATAAATAAAATAAAATAAAATTCACCTGGGAAAAAAAAGAAATGTCATTAATATTTAAAAAAAGAAGAAGAAAGAAACAAAAGTAGATATTTAACCATTTCTGCTCTGGAAGACTATTTTTCTTTCCCAAAATAGTGAACCTTTTTTATTTTTAAACAAGGGTATGTAAAAATAAAATGTATGATTTTTATCCCTAGATTTTATTTTCCTTATGTGATGTGTGTGTGTGTATATATACATAATGCAGCAGGAAATTTTTTAATCTAAATTTATTTATACTAATTCACTGTTAGTTTTTGTAGTTTATTTGTCAAATGTAAACAAGATTCTTTTCTACATTCAATGGGCATTTATATCTTCAGCAAGAAGTACCTTCTGTGTCTTATTGGCTTGTGAGATACTGCTTTCTTATCTTTAATTTAGTGATCTTTCTTTTCTGATAAGACCTGAGAGTGAAATAGACTCCCATATTGTTTCTTTTAGTGAGTTTTCAACTAATTTCTTCAGATTTACAGAAAAGCAAACATTGTGGACTGCCATTATGAAATGGCATCATAAAATAGACATATAGACATCATAAGATATGTTGTCCGTCTAGAGGTAAGATGTAGTTGTGGTCTTTAGGTAATTTATAATATAATGCGAAAGGTAAATAAAGTATTATAGGAGAGATAACTCTTGTATGAAAGAGAACTAAAAGAAAAAGATGTTTGAGCGGGGATGAAAAGAATCAGTAGAGATTGACCCACAGGCCTAGTAGGAGGGGAAGTGGTACTGCAGGCAGAGAGAATGGCGTGTAAGAAACTCGTTGGCATACTGTGACAGACAATTCATTATGGTCAGATTATGGTGTGTGTAGTGGGGAGTTGGCTGTGGTAGAAATAGATGACAAGATAAAAGAAAGTAAAAGGCACTATAGAAACAAGTTTAGGTGGGTCCCAGCTTACAAATGGTCTGTGTGGGTGTTACCCTCTTTTCCTAATTAACTTCTACAGAGCCTTGTTTCAGATGCCAGAGAGTTTCTGTGGAGGAAAATAAAAACCACGAAGCTTTGCACTTTTTGAACAACTGGGTCTAGAAGTTAAGTGAAAAAAAGAAAGAAAAAACAAGACAAGAACTGTCAAAAACTGGAGTCCATTAAATAAGTCACTTTAGGTTTAGATTCTCAGGATTGTGCATTTAGAGTCCCAGAAGGAAGGTAGAGAGATACTAAAGAAAGATTATGCCTTTTTCAAAATTTTATTCAAGTTTAGCATTATATTCAAAGATAGGGAAGGAAATTCTTTTCATTCCTGTATGCAGTGGCTTCCTGCTTCCAGAATTTAGGACCTAGGCTTGTACTGTCAGTATCATGGGTCACTTAACATTATTATGATTAAAGTTGGCATTGGGATCTAGCCTGGGAACGTGACTGCCTGTTTGTTTTTGTATTTCCAAACTGTGGACTCCCAAATTAATGAAATGTCTTGTTATTAGTTGAGAATAGCTTTTGGTGCTTTTATTTTAACTCCCTTTCTCCACTCCATTTAATGGAATCATAGACTTTCAGAACTGGAAAGTGCCTGAAAGAGATCATTTAGTCCAACCTTCTCATTTTACAGATGGGGAATCTGAGGCCTAGAGAAGTTAAGTGAGTTGAACAAGGTCACACAGGTACATACGGTAGCAGACCATCCATTGTTTATGCCATATTTCCTTCCTGGGATTTTTGTTTGTTTGTTTGTTTGTTTTTTAACCTTCCCAGATTTTACTTACTTGAGAAGTTTGTAGAACCACTAGTTGTAGCATGTTTTGATTTCTTGATGTCACTGTTCAATCTTTTTTACTTTCTTTTTACCCGTTTATATTTCTGGCTCTGGGTAAGTGAGTCTGGCAAGTAGCAGATGTTTCTAATTAATTTCTTTTATATTTAGGGTATTAATTATATGTGATATATATCTTTGCAAACATAAATAGAAATATTAAAATATTTGTACTAGACATATCTGTATTTACTAGTATATTGAACTTTATGGCACTTAATGACATATGGATGAAAGAGTTCTTACTGTAGAATTGAGTTCTTAATATATAAACAGACTTTATATCTCTGTTAGTCATTCATTAGGTTATTCTAAGAAAAGACAAAATTAACCTGTCATTAACAAATTTGGGTGTACTAATATTTAGTAAAGTAGCTTTTTTGTACAAGTGTTTGTATTTTATTTTTGTATGTTCCTCTGTATTACCTGTACTCTGGTGGGAGTAAGGGGAGCAGTAGGGGAGATAGGGAATAAAAGCATAATATAGTTCTTGCCTTTGAGGAACCTAAATGTTCACTGGATACTATGTTTTATTATATTAGGTTGGCCAAAAAGGCTGTTTAGTTTTGTCCGTAAAATAAAAGACACATTTTTTATTTTCAACAATAACTTTATTGATTTGGGTATTTTGAGTATGTCGGCTGTTTCCTGCATGGTAGAACATTGATTGTTCTCAATGTCTTGATTTGATTGCTATCAACTTCAACTGGTCTTCCTGAACATGGAGTATTGTCCAGCGAGAAATCTCCAGCATGAAACTTTGCAAGCCACTTTTATTTTTTTATAAAATAAATATAAAATATTAAAAATATAAAAAATTTTTTATAAAATAAAGCTTTTTTAAAGCTTTTATGTACTCATTTTTTGAGAGGGAGAAGGAGAGAGAAACATCCCCCAACTGGGTACCTGGCCCACAACCCAGGCATGTATCCTGACCAAGAACTGAACCAGCAACTTTTTAGTCTGCAGGCTGGTGCTTAATCCACTGAGCCACACCAGCAAGGGCTGCAAACCACTTTTAACACATTCAGTCAGTCACAGCACCTTCTTCATACACTGCACAAATTATTTTTGCATTTCAGTTGCATTTTTACTTTCTTGAAATAATAAAGCATAAGATGCCAAAAATGTTACTTATTTACTTCCATCTTCAGTATTAAAATGGGCACACAAAAATTCACCAATTTTGATAAGATTTTTTAAATGCATGCTGATAGGACAACTGTTGTCATACAGTCTTACAAAATTGCTTTGAATGAAGTTAAAGACAACTATAAATGCTACTAGAGCCATCTTACGGAAAAAACGAAATGAATGAAATGAACATCCCAGTATATTCTATTTTGTTGTAAACATTTAGCTTTTATTAATGTTTATCAATTTTCTTCTGTAAGATAGGGTTAGCCTCATTAAAAGGAGTAAAGAAGGTGCCCTAACTTGTGGCTCAGTGGATTGACTACCAGCCTGTGGACCAAAAGGTCACTAGTTCAATTCCCAGTCTGGGCACATCCTGGGATTGCAGGCCAGATCCCCAGCTGAGGGAGTGTTTGAGAAGTAGCTGATCTATGTATGTCTCATACACATCAATACATCAGTGGTTTTTTTTTTTCTTTCTTTCTCTCTCCCTAAAAAAAATAATGTAAATTTTTCGGACTATAAGACGCACACCCCAAATTTGGGACAAAAGAGGGGGTGTATCTTATAGTCCGAATGTGGCTTACCTGGCTCACTGTGTGTGTGGCAGTGGGGCAGGGTCACAGGTTATTAAATATTTTACCACATTTTTTGCTTCAAAAAATTTTTTTTTCCTATTTTCCTCCTCTAAAACCTAGGTGCATCTTATGATATGATACATCTTATAGTCCTAAAAATACAGTAAATAAGATCTTTAAAAAAGAGAGTAAAGAGGAGATGTACATGCCTAGCTGATTCCATGGCAAATCTCACTTCATGGAAGCTTTTCCTATTAATTAATCTTATCCCTTTTTTTTACTTTTTGTCTACTACTTCGTAAAAACTCTCTTCTTCAAAGCCCCTTTATTTTTCTTGTGTCATGTAAGTAAGTCAATATGAGGTGATGATAAGAAAATACCTTTTGAATTTTCATTCTAAAGAAGTACAAATGATTAATTCTAACAGTCAAGTCCTATTTGCTTTATTGCTTTATTTTTGTAACTTCAGTTTAAGTTTGTTGAGAGACTTAATAACATTAAAAAATTTTACAAGAAACTTTAAGTTTTTTTGTGTGTGTGCATGAAGTTATAACGGAAGGTTTTAATTAAGAAGAAAGTCTTTATTCTTCCCCTACCAATCTATCCGCAGTTCACTTTCATCACTCCCAGTCCTGGTATGCGTTCTCACAAACTCCCTATCCATACCTATAGAGATTTTCATAGTGTTTTCATTATCACTGTTAATTGTTTTTTTGTTCTAAATACTGCTCTTGTTGGAAGACTGTCTTTGACAAAATTTTGTTACTGCTCTTTTTTAAAACCTATTTTCAATTTTTTTTATTATAAGTAGCAGTATGGAGCAGAACTGGAAAAACTCTGATTTTTATAATCAGAGGTACTGAACTTGAGTCCTGCCTCTTCCATTTACATAGTGTGGTTTGAGGCAAGTTTTTTAGTATGCTTCTAAATCTTAGCTTTTTCATGTATAAAATGGAGATAACTATTAACTGTTATCATATGGTTGTGAGGATGAACCAAAAAACATGGAAACTCCTTTGTAAGTTGCGTGCATTTAGTAGACGTTTAGTAACTCAGTATTTCCACTTTCCCTTCATTGCTTCCTCTTAATAGTAATATTTGAGAGTCAGTTTATGAAGTTAGTCTTATGCACTGTTTGTCAAGCAAACATTTTGAGCTCTTGAGAAAGCATGGGAATTTTAGAGAACTGAATCTGCATGAAACTCAAAATGTTTATTTTTTGTTGTGCTATCACAAGACCAGCTTCTTAGAGTTGTTTTCTAGCTTATACCTCCCACCTTACCTCCTGAGCCCTATGATTTTTCACTGTTGACCATGTGGCTGTTTTCATGGTCAGTCCTCTTCTTTCCACCTGTCATGTTTTTTAATGTTCGTGAGTATGAAATTATTTAATAAGGATGCATATGTGTGCACATGCCATTACTGAATAAATTTTCTTTTTAGCAAAACTCAACATAATAAATTATAATATGCTAAAATGGAAAAGCTTTGTTTTGAGCAGTACTATGACAGTTTATTTCAGGTCTGATACAAATTTGTGAATTGTAGTTTTTTTCTAATCAGTTCCACCTTCATATGGATTTAGGTTTAAAACTGTTTAAAGTAGAGGAACTATACAGATACTTGAAGGATTTCTAAATGTAAAATATAGGTCTACAATTGCTTATTTGAAACTCTTAGGGCCAGTTGTGTTTCAGCATTCAAAATTTTTTTCAGTTTCCAGAAAGAGAACAAACTTGGAAACATACAGTTTCTTATAACACCCTCAGTGGGATTTGAAATGGTACCTAGAATGAAATGTTTGCCTCTTCACTAAGGACTACATACAGCCTCATAAATTAATATCAGGTTCTGCAGCATTTGAGTTTGCCATAAAATTTTTAAAAAGTTAGGTATTTCAAACTTTGGAGACTTTGGAATTGTGGATTAAGGATTTATGGATCTTTATTTGTTTTAAAATGCTAAGTTTTTATTTTAAATAATTTTTTAAAAATCTGATTTGGTTAGTAGTTGGAGTTACCAGGATGCTCCTGACCAAAAACTAATATATGGAATCCCTTTCTGAGCCTATTGATGTTTATAAATATGTCTTATTAATCATGAGTAAGCCAGTGCGTGATAACAAATGTGTCACTACTATTGAAAAGATGAATTTTAGCATGCTCCAAGGTAGTGCTAAGTCAGCATTTTACTATTTTGTATTTATTTTACTTATTACTTGAAGACTTCAATTAAAATTTGTAACTTCAGAGGGTATTGAAAAAGATGATGACTTATCTAAAGAGGGAAAGTTCTGGTTTAAAAAAAGTTTAGTAAGTGTTGTGTCTGAGTAGATTAGCATCATTAGTTTCTTTACTTTTCCTTTGTACTTAACAGTTTCACTATTTAACATACATTTTTAAAAATAGTTTGAGAAAACTGTATGTGCTCAACTGAAGTAAAGACGTTATGAAAACTAGTTATTTTAAAAACTCCATTAGCATGCAAAATTTTCATAGGAAATTTGAAGGTATAAATGCAGCTGAATTTACATTGTTGTTTATTGATGACTTCACAAGTTTTGTAAGCAAATGTATAAGCTCTAATTGCATATACTTCACATTTTAGTCTTGGTTTCCTTAATTGTAAAATGGGGATAATAACAGAACCTACTTCAGGATTAAAAGAAATAGTTAATATAAAATACTTATCATATCCTGGCTGGTGTGGCTCATTGGATTGAGTGCCAGCCTGTGAATCAAGGGGTTGCTGGTTCAATTCCCAGTCTAGGACACATGCCTGGGTTGTGAGCCAAGTCCTTAGTGGGAGGCATACGAGAGGCAACCACACACTGATGTTTCTCTCCCTTTTTCTCCCTCCCTTCCCCTATCTAAAAATAAATAAATCTTTTTAAAAAAATACTTAGCATAATGCCGGGTACACCTTATAAAGGTTCAGAAAGTGTTTGTTCTACTTTTTTTCTTAATTGTAAAAGATAACTTTATATCACATTTAAACTTCTCTTTTAGATGTGCTGAAAGACATTATGATACCGCCAAATTTAACTGCAGAGGTAGGTGTAAATGCACTTTATTATGCTAAATAACTTAAAACCAATAGACCAAGTCTTACTGTCATAGCAATAGTAAGTAATCTCTATTAGTAAGTGAGATAAGTACTTGCCTTAAAGGTGGTCTTTGAAAATTATAATTTTGTTAATGTGTTTTAGGAAACAAGTACCATATAAATGTGCAAGAAATATTAGAAAACTAAATTGCAGAATGGACTATAAATTAGAAATTTCTAGACTAATAATAAAATAAGGAGGAGGTTATATCTGCTTTGTGAGGCGTTTGGTGTCATAGTAAGATGTTATACAGTGAAAGCAGAACAACTTAACTCTATCAAGGAGCGTGACCTAAAAGGTGGAAAAGGATATTAACAAATATGGGTAAGGGGAGCGTGATAGGTGAGAGCAGGGAACTGCTTTCAATGTTGTTCTTCAGGTAAGATCAGTTCTATCTCAAAGCCCACAAAAACTTTCACTTGTATTTGTGGACCCCCTTGAGCCATGAGAGAACTGGAGAGTTGAGAAGTTTGGCAGATGCTGTTAAAAGAAAGTGAGTACCATGAGCTACAAATTGATGTATTTGCCATTGATGCCTCCTGAAAACCTAGAATGGACTTTCAAACAGTTGGTTTGAGGATTCAAAAGCACTAATGGTGAGAGTTGGTATAATCACTAAGAATGTTTCTCTTTTGGTGAATTTAGGCTACTGCTTAGTAGGCATAGCTTGTTCTGGTCGAGGTTTATCTGCCTTTAAATTGATGTTTAACAGGTTTTCCTAGATGTTTTTGTGTGCCATGGGGGAAATGAAGATAGAATGATAGCAGTTAGGCAGATGACTAAGTGAAAGCTCTCCCGATAACTCCTTGTAATGGTAGTCATTGTCTACCAGAAGAGTTATCCTATCACAGCAAAGGACTTAATTGATTTTATCCTGTGCCACACTATGCCTTGGTTGAAGATACAAGACATACATTTTACATATTTAGATGATACAGGATAATGAGGTAACATTAGATGTCAGAATTTTTAAGGGTCTTAATAGAGTGGAGTTAAGGCAGATTACAAAATAAGATGAAATTTAATAGTGATATATTTAAAATCCCATTTTTTTTTAAGTTTGTAGACAAATTTTTAAAAACTTTACTCTGACTGTAGGGTACAGAGAAGTTTTGGGTTCTTAATAAGCCGTGTGAAAAGACCTGAAACTATTTTATAAAATTTACTACAACTGTATAATTTTTATAAGTACTTTTTTCATTTTCTTTTGTAAATGATTTTGAAGTCAGTGTATACAACACTAACATTTGCAAGAAGTAACACTTAATATTTTTATTATATGAAATTTAAAGTGCAGTCCTTTATGCAGTCCTTTCTATTATTGATTTATTAATAGTTTTTCTTTTGAATATGTTTTGTGGTGATGCAATATTACAAGTATTACTACTCTTTTTATTAGAAAATGTATTCACAGTCCGGACAAGATGCTTACGTGACATTTCACTTTGAGTTCACTTCCACCTCTGATACGTTGTGACCTGTGCTACCTTTTCATAGCAAAATTTCATTCTTCATCAAGTGGGGAAAATAATACTTGGCCTCCCTGTCTATAGTGGATAAGTTTAATAGTTAACAAGAGACTATTTCTATTCAAAAATTAGAAAATTATCAGACAAATTATTTTTCTTTGGATTTAAGTTTTTATTTTAAACATCTGTTGATCTTATATGCAGCATTTCTAAAGTTAACTTACTTTTAATAAACAATTCAGAAGAGATTTTTCTCTCAGTCTGAAGTTATCTTTCTTTTTATCACAGTTGCACAGTATCCTTTTGAAGACCATAACCCACCACAGCTAGAACTTATCAAACCCTTTTGTGAAGATCTTGACCAATGGCTAAGTGAAGATGACAATCATGTTGCAGCAATTCACTGTAAAGCTGGAAAGGGACGAACTGGTGTAATGATTTGTGCATATTTGTTACATCGGGGCAAATTTTTAAAGGCACAAGAGGCCCTAGATTTCTATGGGGAAGTAAGGACCAGAGACAAAAAGGTAAGTTACTTTGATGTTTTTCTTTCCTTTTCTTAGATCTAAGAATTTATTTGAAAATAGATTTTTAAAAGGAAAGTTGGTAACCTCATGTTTTTCTCCTGAACATTTAAATCAGTTACTACCTTAAGTTTTTTTAATCCTTACCCAAGGATATGTCCATTAATTTGAGATAGAGACCAGAGACAGGGAGAGACAGAGAAAGACAGAGAAACACCAACTGGTTGCCTCCCATTCATACCTTGACTGAGGATCAAACCTGCAACCTTTTGGTGCATGGGACACTAACCGACTGAGCCACCCAGCCAGGGCCTACTCTAACTTTTATATGAGCAAATGACACTTAATTTTCCTGTGTATGCTAGCATTTTTGTGTCATGCTAGCAAATCTTACCCATTAACTCTAGTGCATATTCAGTTTCAGAATACTTAAAAAGCCTTTTAAACAGCAGCAGCATGATCAAAAGTAAGCTTGATATTTCTCAAGCTTGGTTGGGAATAAAATGTTTGGATAATAGCTTGAATGCCATCATTACCTAGTAAAGTATGATCTTTACTCTTAAAATATGTAAAATTATTCTTTAAATACATATTAATGTAAGTAGTTAAGAATAGTCAGAAGTTCTTCTCTTATTCAGAAGAATAAAGTGTATCCTTGGGTTGATACCACTGGAATGAATTCCAGAGCAGACAACCTAAGATGTTTACCTCTGTTCATCCTTTCATCTAGCAGGCGTGTCCAGCCTGTGGCCCAGGATGGCTGTGAATGTGGCCCAACACAAAATCATAAATTTACTTAAAACATTGAGATTTTTTTTTGATGAGTATGTGTCGCAGAGTATTTGAAATGTGCCCCAAGACAACTCTTCTTCCATCGTGGTGCAGAGACACCAAAAGTTTAGACACCCCTGAGAGGGAAACTATTGCTTCTGCTGATTAAAACTATAGAAGGTAAATTGTTTTTACTGAAGTAAATAAATGCAGGACACAGGAAAAGAGACTTAATTGGAAGAAAACCATATAGAAATAGATCAAATTAAAATTGACAGTTACAGAAGCAGTGGTAGAAATTTAAAACAGGGTTTATGAGCAGCAAACATTTTGGTAGTTAAAAGGAAATCAGGTAAAAAGAATTTAATATAAAAAATAGAAGAGTTGTGTTATGCAGAACCAGAGCACTAGATTTAAGCTAGGGGCTCTTAAACTATTTATGTATGTTATATACCTTTTAAAAATATGGTGAAAGCTATAAATAGTCTCTCCAAAAGTGTGCATGATATACATGAACATAAAATTGTTCCTAGCAGTTTTTAATTGCACTGAACACTATTTTTAAAGAAAGAATGTAAAAGAAATCTTCATAACAATTATGTCTCTTTTTGTTGTGCAAAAGTCTGTGGCCACTCCTTGAGAATGACTAAATCTAAGAGGAGCAAATGAACCAAAATTAAGCTTTAGTTCTGCTCAATAGTAAATTTTAATGAAAGGGCTTCTATTACATAGCTTTTAAATAACACATTCAAACTATTCCATTGTCTTTGACTTGGCAGTCTTTCAGTCATATTTGATATCCAATCAGTTTTGACTTTGTTTTTGGTCAAAATGAGTACTGAAAATCCTATATCGTGAAAGAATGAGAGAGCAAGTGGAGTCCATAGGTTCTCTTGTCAGATGAGAAAGTAGTATTGTGTCAGGTAGTTGGTTGGGCATTGTCCCTTAAAGGGAAAGGTCCCTGGTTCATTTTTTGGTCAGGATACATGCCCGGGTTGTGGGCCCCATCCCAGGTAGGTTGGGGCATGTGCAAGAGTCAACCAATCGATGTTTCTCTTTTCTCCCTCCCTTCTCCACTCTCTAAGAATAAATAAATAAAATCTAAAAAGTAAAAATAAAAAAGAAGAAGAAAAAGAATTTTCTAAGATTCTTCAGATAAATTCATGTTGAATCATTGTCTTTGTCTTCTAGTTAATAAGATCATTTTTGGCAGACCCCAACATAATGCTGTGTTGGAACTGTAAATGAGTTTATACTGTATTTTACCCAGTTAATGGCAGTTAAAATTCTGGCTGTAGATTTGTCTTCTGAAAGCCAGTGTTATGGGTAGCAGAGAATTTCATACTTCCACTTCTTGACAAACCTCTTGAGAAGCCCTTGATTGAAAGTCTTGGCTTTTATGACTTTGGCAACTTTCACAACAGTAGATTTTTCATGACAAATCCTCTTGCATAGGCTAGGCTATGATTCAAGGCTTGGCACTCTTGAGGCAGTGGAATACTTTGACAGCAACAGATAAGATTTCTCTTAGAATTGATTGTGGAGTCTTTCACCGCCGTACATAGTGATGAACAAAGTGGTGAGTCACAGTGACATGCAGAACTCCTCTACCAAAGCAGCAAAACCAGATGTTTTGCCAGGCATTAAGGTGTACTATCTGTCTGAAGGATACTGAGATTTCTTCAGGAGAAAGTATTTTTTTGTTTCTGTTTTTGTTTTTGGCAAAGAAACTTCACCATTTTGAAACTGTTTATGTCCCTTGAAGTTTCCAAAAAGGACTCTAAAGAATTGTTCTTTGATTGTGTCACCATGAATTTATTTGATGAAAATTAGTAGCTGGCTAAGCTGAGAAGTCATATGGTGAAGGAAAGTGATATTTCCAGTCCTTTCATGACCTGCTTAATAGTTTTAGGGGGAAAAATGTCTTTTGTTTTGAAATGGATGAAAATTGTTTAACACAGAGACTGCAACAGTTTTAGTTTTCTATTGCAAGCTACAAATATTTGTTACTATTTCTGAGGTATTTGCCTTCACCACATTGAGGTATGTGACTTTTTTGTTTGTTTGGCATTGTAGCCAACAGCCTGGTAGAGGATGCTGAAGGATTTTGAATTGAGAGCAAATAAAAATTTTGTAATGGTCTGGCCTTTTCTAACTGAGCTGTGCTCTCATACTTTCAATCTTTATTCCTCTCCTTCCTGTTACACCGTTCCCACCCACCCCCCACCACAACACACATATGCGTATACACACTTTCTGATGGAGGTGCTTCATGATAGATGACTGCATGCTTCTAATACTGAGAAATAACCACAGAAAAAGCATGTGGGATATTCCACAGGAAAAGCAAGTCTCCATAATCAAAAAGTGAGGACATATTTTAATTTCTCAGTTGGAAGATAGATACTTTAGTCATCCCAATCTGGTAATATTGGCAATTCTGTTACTCCATGGAGGTGAGGAGAGACTTGATATGGCAAGCCCTATGGGACAGTGTTATGACATTAGGGGCAAGAGTGAAAAGATAGCAGAGAAATATTTATGGAAAGAAAATGTAAAGTTTTTAGTGTTATGTGGAAGAAGGTAATAGTACCTGCATCAGCAGCAAAGCTGCTTTAGGCACAGCATATTCTTATAGGTTGTACTCTCCCCAGAGTATAAGGTGCTGGACTTAGAAAATGAGGTTTGTATACACTGTTAAGGATATATGCAGTAAAATTGTTATGTTTAGCTGTTACGTGATATTAGGATTCAGAGTTGAGTAATTTACCAAAATTGATCACTCTTAGCATCTTGTAATCAGATCATTGAGATCTGCTGTGCTTAGCTCATTGTTAATTAATATACCTAGACCATTTTTTAAATGAATTATTCATGTGCTCTAAAGGAATATCTTAATGTGCTTTTACCTTTATCCCTGTGTATACTATAAAAGCTAAAGTGAAATGTATAAGTAGACATTGTTGTCAAAGCTATATTTTTCTGAACAGTGCCATTTGCATTTTAGGTTGAAACAGCATTAGAAAACTAATACAGTGGATAAAAGTCATAGGGCTTTTTTGTTTTGGGTTTTTTGTTTGTTTGTTTTTCTTTTGCAGGAATGTTTCTTATTGTATAGATGATAAAACTTGAGGCCTAGGAAGATGAAGTGCTTTAAGATTATCCAGTTAATGATAGCATTTAGAGTGAAATTTGAGTTCCCTGGCACACTGCTGATCCTCTTTCTACACTATTAAGCCCACAAATCCTGGAACTGCAAAAGAATTTTGAGACTTCAAAATTAATCTCTGTACAGGCTCAAGCTCTCCTGAGAGGTCAATGTAATGCTGATGAAATTGGCCAGTTTTGAAAGGCTTCTCAATTTATATTCTTCTTTATAGATGCTAGGGCATTTAATCCCTTATTTAAGTAATTAATAATTAAAAACATTTAAATATATTACATGTTTACCTACTAGTTGGAATACTAATGAAATACTATATTTTTAAACTTTAAAGACTAACTAATTTCATTGTAAGAAAACTTAGCTGAGCATAAGCTGTGATACAGCTGTGGAGTTATTCCAGAGAAGAGTCTTATAATTAATATAATTGATTATCCCAAGTAGTTTTATTCTTGAAACATCTGCTAATAGATGTATTCTCTTGACAGTATTTCCTTTTAGGTTGAGTCTTTAAGTTTGCATTTTTGTAATAGTGAACTACTGTTATAGGAGACACATACATTTTACCAATTTTTAGTTTATGTTTGATTAATTTTATTAGGACTATTTTTAAAGTTGTTTTGCTTATGTCCTTAATTTTAATTATAGAGAAACATTAGGAAGCTGAAGAAGATTGTGTTCTGACATTTATATAGGAGTACAGTTTCTTCTTCTCTTCCTCCTCTTCTCCCTCCTGCCTCTACTCTGTCTGCCCCAGCCCCCTGCCACCTCTATTTTCTCTCTTCCCCTTCTTCCCTCTTCCTCTCCCCCTCCCCCTTGTTTCAAGGAAAGAGGATCCAGTTTTCATGTTTTGGTGAAGGATTTGTAGACTGCAGAGACTTTCCCCAGAATAATGTGGTACAGAGTCTTAACATTTCCTCAGCACACAGAATGCAAATTAGATGGCAGAGTGGTGGGTGCCAGCTTGCCTACCATAAGATGTGTTGTTGTGTTAGTAATGCCCAATTAATATTTCAGGTTTTGAATGTTTGGTAGAAGTAAAAGTACAACTGATACCTCCTATAAAAAA